GATTCAAGGTCCAGATTTCTCCTTTGTCATTAGTTCAATGTCCACACTAGAGTTGGGTCGGTATGAGAAAAAAAAAAAAACGGTCCGTTTTTTTAAAAAAAAAAAAACGCATCAAGTCGGTAATACCGGATCTTCGCCACTTGGGGGCGCAATCGACTCATTTAAAATAAAAAACGACCTTAGGACAACAGAGTGACAGTAACAAGTTTCTTTTATTCCTTACAAATAAATTTTGTAGCTCACTCAATCAGTGCAAACAAAGGTTGCCTCCTTCGTCTGGCTCAAAGCCAAAGTGTTGCCATAGTGGCGCATTCTTTGATTTTGTCGAGACTAAATTGTACGCCATTATCAACTCACCGTCACTATTGAACAAAGTCCAGGCTACAGTAGTACAGTACAGTACAGTAGTAGTAGTAGTAGAGGCGCATGCGCACTCGCACCTCCTAGCTCAGTCCCCGCCCCACCCCCCTCTCTCTCCTGCTCGCTGTGTGCTTGGTGAAGAGGCAGACACAGGTGCTCACAGACTCGGGCGTACTATAAGCGGAGCGGACTCCGTGTAAAAATGTCCGTGAAAAATCCCCGCGATGTGAAAAATACATGCCGAACAGTCTTTTGTGTGACACTGGTGCGCGGTGCGGACGTCCACTTTTACCGGGTGGACCTCTGCGGCGTCTGCTCCGCGTACATTCTGCCCGAGTATGCGGTCCGGTCGGTCTCAAAAAATAAAACCCGGTCCAAGACAGAGTACCGGACCGAATTGGTATTACCGAGGAACCGACCCAACCCTAGTCCACACAGTTTAATACTTGTGTAGGTAGTTTGCTGTCTCTGTTAAGTAGCTATCCATTAGTCACTGAATCTACAACAGAAAACGTTCCTTCAAAATAAAAGCACTCTGCCGGAAATTTACTGTACTTAAAATAAAGTGTGTTTTTAACAAACGTGACACATTTGTGAGTCACTTGCGGTCCATTCAGAATGGACCAGTGACCCACTTTTGGACTGTGACCCAACAGTTGGGAATCACTGTGTTAAGCAATTTATTGTTCTTCAAATAGAATGGTTGTCCATCCTTTAATGACAAATGGGTGGTAAGTTGTGTCTAATATATTGGACTGACGACCCCAAACAGTACTGCTGAAGGCTTTGCACTGTAAAGCTAAAGGCTTTGCACTGTAAAGCTAACGTTAGTTTCACAGATTGACAAATCAGACCTTTTCACAGCCCCAAATCCTGCAAGTCCTGATTCAAAATTTTCACAATGATATAACATGCTTAAATTTTAACTGAGAGATTCAGACTCCTGTTTGTACCAGACGTCTACATTCAGCACACAATTCTATTTTGTATTTGGTTCAGATCTTCAAACACAGTTAAATAAATGTTTCAGCCAATTTAAACACATTGAAAAATATGTTGCATTATATATTGGAATAAAAGAATATCCATTTTTATTGGGAGCTTGTTCATTGTATCCCACCTGAAACAGTGCACACAGACTTTGATATCCATTAAAACACAAAAAGGGTGTTGAATAAAGCAGGAGGTACAACAGGGATAGATCAGAGTGTTTCCAGGTCAGACTGTCTCCATGTGGTCAGTTCTCTACACCAACCATCAGCCTTCCCTGGCCTGGTGCACGGGGACAACCACTCATGTGAACGTGCCCTTAATCCGGCCTCTGTAAATGGTTCTGTTGTGCCGTGCCAGCTTTCATAAGAGAGCCACAGAGACGCAGCAACATAGCCCAGAGCAGGACATCATAATTCAGGAGAATAATTGGGGCATTTAAACCAAACCTGGGACTCATCCATGCCAGACAGATACAGGTCAGAGCGGCCTGTCCACATGGGAGGTAGGAAGGGATGGATGGATGGAGAGAGGATGGGAGGAGATGGATGGTTGTAGTTGGGGGAGGAAATAATGTGGTGAGGCAGAGAGGAGAAAATTAAAAATAAATAGTAAGGTAAGGGTCATCGTAGGATTAAAAAATGGAGGTAAACACAGATGAATAAAGGGAAGAGGGAAAGGAAAAAAGGCAAGCTGCAGAGGTAAAATGAGAGAGCGAGGACTAACCAGGAAGTCAATAATTATTTCCCTGCTGCTCGCCATGTAACGTAATCTGCGGAGTTCTCCTTTTCACTGCTTTCCTTAAAGGTTGGCAACAACTGGTGCAGCATGTAAGGAAAACAGCAAAGAATTCTTCCTATGGGTGTAAAGGTCATTTTTATATGCTGCTCGTAATTTGACCTCCGAGCCAGTTACTTCTACCCGTCACTCCACTAATATTAACAATGCTTCTTTTAGAAACGTTCCACTGTTTAACCATATTATATTTTTATTTTTAAAATCTGCTTAACTTTGATATATTCTTTTAACAAAATAAAAAGAGCACAAAGCACTCATTCTTTGTTGAACTGGTATTGTTATAGTTTTATCAATACAACCACCCTGACTGATCCTGCTGAACGGTCCATCGTTTCGTCAATGCTGCTTTTCAATTCCTTTTAACTACGGTGCAAGAAAATAGAACAAAATGAACATAACTGTGAAGGGATTCACTGCTCAGTGGATAATGCTGGGAGAGGGAGGAGAGGCTGAGAGGTTCATCTGAGACTGGAAGTCTACAGGAATCTGCCAATTTTAAAGTTTGTCACTAATTAGGCCAAATAGTTTTGTTCAATTAACTCATGTTTTTAGCATTTTCATGGCAATTTGCTGCTATGAGTAAAACATACTGGCTGAGATAAGGCTGGGTGATATAAAGGAAATCAAAGGCAAGGCAAGTTTATTTGTAGAGCACAATTCGTACACAAAGTAATTCAAAGTGCTTTACAGAACAAGAAAATGCATTAAAATCACAATAATAAATAAAAACAAATAATCATTATAAAATGAACTTTAAAAGAGAAGAGTGCAGATAAGATCCTTTCAGTCATATGCACAGTGAAATAGAGCTGTTTTGAGCCTAGATTTGAACATTGTCAGAGTAGAGGCCTGTCTCACATCTTCAGAAAGACTGTTCCAGATTTTAGCTGCATAAGCAGCAGAGGAAGCAGCAACAGTAAGCAGGCCAGAGCAGTTTAAATAGGGTGCCCTGAATGAGATTTGCCAAGTGGTTGCATAGAAAGGAGTCATGTGATCTATCAGCTGACTCCCTTCCATCAATTAGCCGCTCCATTGGCTGTTTGAAATCAGCTGATGTAGCTGGGATGCAAGCTAAGCTTGACATCATGTCCTGCCTGGTAGCAGAATCGGAAGTTAGCCGACTAGCCACTTGGCTAGCGGAAGTCTCTCTGTTGTTGTTTCAGTCATCCCCAAAACAAACACATGCGCGAGCCAGGTAAACGTCTTTACGACAATACACGCTAGAGTTCATGGGAAATGTAGGCTTCATTCCGGCAAAACACTACCGCTTTTGTCCACAGGGTCGCCAAAATCAACTCAAAATAAAGGTTCCTTGTAGGGGCTTTAAGCGAAGGCTTTGCGTTGATGTAGAGTGGTAATGGAGCCCAATTTTGTAACCTTACCTTTGTTAAATGTTGCTGTTGTCCCTGGCCTCATAGGAATCATGGAAAAGTCTGTTAGCTGCTAGGCTGATTTATACAATGTAAAATGACATAGGCTTGTGCTAATAACATTAGCGTGTTGTACTTGTGAGGAAAATGTGTCCAGCAAAAGACAAGTGCTTTGTCTGTGCAAGAAAGAGAGGGAACCTCTCTGCCCTTCCATGTGCCTACATGGAAAGCCTAAGGCAGGGAGAGCAGCAGCAAAGACCCCCTGGGAACAGAACAGAGCAGCATCAATGACAAACAGAAATGACACTGATAAGTCAGACACAGCATGAAAAGGAGGAGCTGGGATGGTGGCAGGTTGCAAGGCAAGGCAAGGCAAGGCAAGGCAAGTTTATTTGTAGAGCACAATTCGTACACAAAGTAATTCAAAGTGCTTTACAGAACAAGAAAATGCATTAAAATCACAATACAAAATAAAAACATAAATAATCATTATAAAATGAACTTTAAAAGAGAAGAGTGCAGATAAGATCCTTTCAGTCATATGCACAGTGAAATAGAGCTGTTTTGAGCCTAGATTTGAACATTGTCAGAGTAGAGGCCTGTCTCACATCTTCAGAAAGACTGTTCCAGATTTTAGCTGCATAAAACTGGAACCCTGATTCCCCATGTTTAGTCCTGACTCTGGGCACCAGCAGGAGGCCAGTCCCTGAGGTCCTCAGAGTCCGAGATGGTTCATATGGCACTAACATGTCAGAGATGTACTTTATTGCTAGGCCGTGGAGAGACTTGTACACAAGCAGAGCTGCTTTAAAGTCTATTCTCTGAGCCACAGGAAGCCAGTGTAGAGACCTGAGCACAGGACTAATGTGCTCGTACTTCCTGGTTCTGGTCAGGACCCGAGCAGCAGCATTCTGGATGTACTGCAGCTGTCTTACAGCCCGTTTGGAGAGGCCAGTGAGCAGGCCATTACAGTAGTCTAACCTACTAGAGACAAATGCATGGATCAGTCTCTCTAACTCTATGGGCAAGAACGCATAATCACACATGAGTGTTTCATACCATGGAGGGAGTCAAGATGGGACCAAGTGGCAGCTTTCAGTTTGATCCAGTGAAAGTATACAAGCAAAACGTGGCTGTTCTATTGCAGCGTAGGCCTTTATGAAGCCATTGCTAAGCAAATGTGGAGAATGAGAAGAGCGACTTTCCGTTGTTAGAGCTGGACAGAGTGATCAAATCTCAATCGGCTCTTAATATGGACACTGGAGACACATGATACCAGGTGTAAATGTAATCTGGTTAAATAGTATCTTGGTACCAGACACATTTTAATACACGTTGTTAAGGGGGTCATTGGGTTAGAGGTAACGTACAAGCAAGGAAAAAGGAACAATGTGAGAAGCTTTTAGAGACTCACTTGAAACTGTAGGTATAATGAGGGATTTTAAAGGTATATTTGGCACTTGGCAGATTTTTAAAAACACCTCTAATCATCATGTCAATGTACAAATTCTGTAGGTCTGATCATTGATGCCTTTGGAGAACTCAGAGATCAACAAGAGCAAGTCAAGGAAGACATGGAGGTATGATACTGTCAGTTGATCCTTTCACCTAATGTATGCATGACATGGCTTTAATCTTCATCCCTGATTTTTTTGCAGACAAAATGCTTCATATGTGGCATCGGAAGTGACTACTTTGATACAACGCCACATGGCTTCGAGACCCACACTTTAGATGAACACAATCTGGCCAATTACATGTGAGTGTACCTCCTCTGTGTTTCCGTGTGTGCATGTACTCTTCACATGTGTCGAAATGTACCAATGACAAAACATTAACACGTGAGTTCTTTTCAGGTTCTTCTTAATGTACCTCATCAACAAAGATGAGACGGAGCACACGGGGCAGGTCAGTCTGAACTGTTTTATTGCAGTGCTTTAATTGGTGTTTTGTTTTATGAGAATTCCTCCTGGCTGATAACAGTCTGCTCTCTTCCTCGACACATGTCCTCATTTGACTTGTTGTTTTTACTCCCTCTGTTTTAGGAGTCATATGTGTGGAAGATGTACCAGGAGCGTTGCTGGGACTTCTACCCTGCAGGAGACTGTTTCAGAAAGCAATATGAGGATCAACTTTCCTAGCTAACAAGTACTTCACACTTACAGAGGGAAAAATATAATAATTGAAGCACCAGTCTTGGAACCCATTGGCTATCGGTCTGATGATATCTAAGTCAAGACTTCCTCTTCCTCACTTCCTCTTTCGTCTTCGGTCATTTCAGCTCATTTCTATGAACAGATATATATAGCTAGACATAACCGATGGGTTCCGAGATTTTGGCCAGTGCACTTTGCCTCTACACATGGATTGGGACTGTTTACCTGCTGTTTAAATGTAATTGGTCAGTACTACTCAAACTACAAACAAGAACACCTCTAAAAATCTTGTCTCATCGCCTCCAGTCTTTTTTAACACACTCAGAATGTGTTTATAGAGGTTATTGAAGTGCTGCTTGTGTTCATCATTCCTGACAAAAGTCACAACAAATCGATTTTGACATGAAAACTGCAAAATAATTCTCATGAATTCGAATTAACAGCACAAACATTACTTCAAACTTTGGTAACTCTGGTGTCCCTGAGGTGGCTGTAAAGAAAGAGAGTTTTTACTATGCAAATGTGATTCACACAAAAGTTTTTTTTAAGTGTAATCATGTAATCAAAATGCATGAATATTTTCTCTTTAATCAATTTAGGGACATCATGGGTTTCCATAAATTTGTTTTAATTTGTTGTTTGTTAAGAAGTTGAAGATAAAGCCACTGTTATGTGAGAATGTGATAAAGTGCCTTAGCAGTAAGAGAAGCTGAATAAACTATATGTAACAGAATATAGTTAGCTTGAAAGTTAGCTCAGCACTCTCACCTTTTTGTTGTTACATGTAATCAATAGTTTCATTTAAATTCATCATATATTTTCTTTGTGATTATTATCAGTTTCACTCTAGCATATTTATATTTATTTCTCTGTTTAGTTTTCCTCAGATACTGTAGCTTATGTTTGATTTTAAATGATTGTATTTATTGTTTTTCAAGACAACTTTAAGTCTGCAATGATGAATAAATTCTGTGTAAGAATAAACTTGAGTGTAATGTGAGATTCATTAGATCTTGTGCTCATCAGCATGCTGTATGTATAATGTGTGTATGTGACAAAAGACAGCCGTGTCCAGTCTGAGAATTCTTCAAATGTATGTCCTAATCTGCAGCATATACAGTTTGGATTCAGTTAGTATTCAGTGAATAAATTATACATAATTATATGATAAGGGGGGGTCAAAATGTATTTTAATTTACATAGATTGTCAGGTCATACCTTTGCAAACTTACTAAAGGTTATCCACAGTTACACATTTACAACCCTGACATTTTTTTAAGAGATCTGAACCGATGTACCAATAAATTTTTTTGTTAATAGTAGTCAGTCTGAACAGATAACCACCTTAATGTGAAGGATTACAGATGACAAGACACTAAATTGCACAGCAAAAGACTCAAGCTACCGTACTTGTCTTTTCATGACTGCTGTGGACCTGTTGAAAGATAAATTAAAGCAAACTAAGGTGCGTTTAGGGGCCACAGTGACATTCTGGCTTCTGTTGGCTTATCATTCACAGTGATGGATTGATAAGATTTACTAATTGAAGTAAAGGTTTCAACAGTTCTTTTCTGTATTTGGATTTGACAGACGGGATGAGCCTGAGAGATTTTGTGCAACTGATTAAAATGAACTTAAATTCTGTGTATGTAAAACTGAACTGATAATAAAGAATAAAGAAACGTTGAAATCATGCTGATAAGCCATTTTACAAAGTAACTTAGCACACACCGCCACAGTTTGTGTGTAGCATCTCATCAAAACCCATTTTCATACCAAGCTCTTGAAATGTGTCCCTGCAGAACATCCAATCCGAACGAGGATTAAAGCCGAGCTGAGCATTAAAACTCACATTGAGCCTCATGTGCTTTTCACCCATCCTGCCCTCAGACATTTCTCTCTGAGCCCGGGATACGTCGGCTGTCAACATGAGCGTCTCGGGGATCCACCATGGCGTGCTAAGGATGTATGGTGAGTTTATCCTCCTCTTCACTGAGCAAACATCATTACAGCTGTGGTTATATT